CATCATCAGCATCGTCATCATCATCATCATCGTCGTCGGCATCGTCAGCAGCATCATCACCATCATCAGCATCATCACCATCACCACCATCATCATCACCACACTCATCATCATCATCATCATCATCATCATCATCATCATCATGATCAAAAGCATCATCATCAGCAGCATCGTCATCAACATCAGCATAATCATCATCAACAACATCATACTCAAACCGTCATCATCATCGTCGTCGTCATCGCCATCTTTGTCATCATCACACCATTACCACCACCACCACCACCATCATCCTCTTCGTCATCATCACCACCACCACCATCACCATCACCATCACGGTCATCATCATCATCATCATCATCATCATCATCATCATAATCATCATCATCGTCGTCGTGGACGTCGTCGAGGACGTCGTCGTCGTCGCCATGATCGCCATCATCATCACAATCACCATCACCATCACCATCATCGGAATCAGAATCAGAATCATCATCATCATCGTCGTCGTGAGATGTCGTTGCTACCGCCATCATCAATCATCGCCCTCACCAACACCACCTCCACCACCATCATCACCATCATCAGCAGCATCAGCACCAGCATCGTCATCGTCATCGTCATCGTCATACTCATGATCGGTATCATCACCATAATCAGCATGATCATCATCATCGTCGTCATCATCGTGACCGTCGTCATCATCGTCATCGTCAATTGCATCTTCATAATCAGAACTATCGTCATCATCAACATCATAACCATCATCATCAGCATCATCATGTCCGCCACCTCCTCCTCCTCCCTCTTCGAGGAAGGGGGCGACGGCGACGGCGGCGGCGACGGCGACGGTGATGGCGGCGGCGACGACGACGACGACGACGACGAGCTTTGGCTGGGCGGTCCTGCGGGCCCATCGACACCGCGAAGATCGACGACCCCCCGTGGTACCATGCCGGCCGCAACGACCGGGAGCCCAGGCAGCCAGGCACCGGGAAGCACCCGCAGCACCAGGAAGGACCGCCGTACCTCCGGAGCAGGGATCAGCGGCCACAGAGCAGACAGTGGCACGATTAGAAAAACTCTGAGAGCTGGAGATGGGCCCAGGGGTAAAGCCAATCTGAGCAACGTCGTGACTTAAACGAAGGGAAGACCGTTTCCTTGAATTCATTTCCCCCGAGGGGGGGGGGTCACACCCGGATACCCAGAAGGGGGGCACCAGGGCGGCTCCATTCGGGGGAGGGGAGCGGAAGCGACGCGGAGGAGAGGCTCCCCTCGGGGGAGGGGAGCTGCCCACGACACCGCCACGTCGGCTCCAAGAGGGGGAGTGGTCGACTCTCCCCGTGCGGGGGGAGCGGCCGCGACCCGGGGGGGAAGCCAATCTGCCCCCCCCTGACACGGGGGGGAATCCAATCAGAGTGAGCAACGTCGCAGCTTACTCGAAGGGAAGCCCCTTCCCTTTTTATCCCTTCCCCCCGAGGGGGGGGGGGGGGGGGGGGGCACACCCGGATACCCGGGGGGGGGGCACCCAGGCGGCTCCCCTCGGGGAAGGGGAGCGGCCGCGACGCAGAGGGGAGCGGCCGCGACGAGGAGTGGAAGCCAATCTGAGCAACGTCGGTGTTTACTCGAAGGGAGGTCCCGGAAAGAAGTCCCAGGGGAGGTCCCGGGTCAGAGTACCACCCTCCCGGGGCCCATGGCCCGCCCTCTCCCTCCCATTTCCGTCGAAGGCCGAAGCCTCCAGGGTCGGCGGCACCGGCCGCAAGGCCTTGGCAATGTTGTGGCCCATTCCTCCACATGTGCGCGCGTCGCAAGGCCTGGGGCGACGCAGGCGCCCCTGCGAATGAAATTGTCCCAAGATTCAAAGCCGGATTCGTCGTCGACGTCGTCTCAGTCTGGGTGCTGTCTGACGCTGCACTTGCTATCGTTACTCGTGCTGTCGTCATGCTATTCAGTGTCGGGGTTGGTTATGTTTTCGTCGGTGCTGGTGTGGGGTTATCTCTGTCGGAACCTTGAGGCATTGACAATGAGTCGTAACATGCGTCGTTGGGTACGTCGGAGTTTCTGGAGCATGACTTTGGTGAGAGTCCACGCTGCACAGCCATACGTGACCGTTGGCGTCACCGTCCCGCTGAAGAGCTTGAGTCTGCTGCGGAGGGGGTACCGGCTGTTTGTGAGCTCGTTGCGGAACTGGTTGAATTTGCGGCACCCAATTCAAAGCCTGTTGGTGAGCTCGGTGTGGTGGAAGTCGTGCAACCTCAGCTTGCGACCCAAGTATTTGGTGCTCCCCTCGGCGCTGAGGATTTCGACCTTGTCGCCGTCGATGTCCACGTGTGTAATGCATCGCCACTGTCGCCTGCTAACAGTCGTGAGGATTTTCGATTTGTCGGGGTGCATTGTAAGTCCACATTTCGCAGCTTCGTGTTTCAAGTCTCGCGAAATACACTTGGAACTTCTTAGACTGGGTGCTAGGAGGAGTACGTCGTCAGCAAAACTCAGGTTGGTCAAGCGCGTCGTCTGTGCCTTTCCCAATTGTATGCCGAAGCCCTTTCGTGCCCAAGTTGGTTTAATGTTCCGGAATATGTGCTCGAGTAGCGCGTTGAACAAAAATGAGCTGAGCAGGGTCCCCTTGCTTGACGCCGCGCTCGGTGTTGAATTGTCTGCTTCTGACGTCGGTCTTTACCGTGGCTCTTTGGTCGTTGTAGACATCTGCAGCAATGTGACGTAGGGTTCCGGCACACCTTGTTTCCTCAGGGCTTCCCAAAACCACGAGTGGTCGACGCAATCGAAAGCCTTCCTGACTTCGATAGCAGCTGTCCAAAGTGGGAACTGCCATTCGTAGGAGTGGTCGTAAAGTAAAGTTGCAGTGAAGAGGTGGTCCTCTGTGCTCAGGCCCTTGCGGAAGCCAGCTTGGTCAGGTGATTGTTGTGCGTCGACAAGTGTGTCAGGTCGGTTGTAAAGTAGTCGGGGCGTGAGTTTGTATACTAAAGGTATGATTGCGATTGGCCTGCAGTTGCTTGGTAGTTGCGGGTCTCCGGACTTATAGATTACACTGGTGGTGGTGTGTCTCCAAGGTTCCGGCGGTGTCTGTTCAGGTGCTACAGTGTCGTTGAAGAGCACCAGCAAATGCTTCTCAATCGTGCCCCCCCCTGCTTTCAGCAGCTCCGCGGTGAGCCCAGCCGTGTATTACACCTGCCGTTTTTGAGGTGCTTCACTGCTTGGTGCAACTCCTCGTGGGAGAAGGGTGGGATGCTCAGTCGAAGTCGCCGTGCTGCTCTTTCTTGGGCGTCAGGGGAGCTGTTGGGCGTAGGCAAGGTTGTGCTTTCAGGGCGCCAGTACAACTCCTCATAGAAGTCCGCGAAGACATCTGCTATCCCCTGTCGGTCCGTTTCGTTGGAGCCCTTTGCTGTTGTCATGGCCGGTATGAGGTCCTTCGTCTTGCTGGACTTGATCCCAGAGATCCTGATCAGGCCGCGGAAACCAACGATGATGTCGCTCAGGATTCCCTGCCGCTGAGCCCTTTTGATGTCCCGGTGTGCTCGTAGAATACAATTGCTAAGAGCTGTTCTGGTGGCTGTGTCGGTGTGCGGTGTGTTTCTGCGTTGCGTAATAAGTGCGTACAACTGTTGCTTTGCCACCTCGTCGCTGCTAGCTGCGTTTTGTGGAAGTTGTTGCTGTTGGTCTTGTTGTTGCTGATAGTCTCTCTGAGCTGCTACAAGTGTTTGTTCGATGTGTGCAGCGGTGTCTCGTGTGCCCTTTGGTGTCGTTGGTAGCGAGGTGTCTCATCAAATGGTGTTGCAAGTCGGGGTCGTTTGGTCGGGGAGGTTTTTGGTGCCTGCGTGTCTGTCGTCGTTTCCGTCGTCGTGCTCGGGGTGTCGCGTCGTCCAGTGCTAGTCGGAGGTGCACGGCTTGGTGGTCGGAGCCGAGGTCGGGACACGTCGTGGCGAATGAATCCAGAATCAAATGCCGGGCCCGCTGATCCATGAGAATGTAGTCGATCTGCGTTTGCTTGTGGTTGGTGCCAGCGCTCGTGTACGTGAGGACATTGTCGAAACGCTTGCAAAACATCGTGTTCGTGATTGCGAATTTGCGCACGCACGCCCACGATCGTAGCCAAGTGCCGCGCTGGTTGTACCCGCTCTGCCCGTGGTTGCCGAGAGTACGTTTTCCTGCCCGGCGAGTGCTGGAGTCGTCGTCGTCGTCGCTCCGTTTGCCAACTCGTGCGTTGAAGTCTCCTGTGATGATGGTCGTCTGGTGTTGTTGGTGGGCGTCGGCGTGTATTTCTGTAAATGCCTCGTACATACATTGCACGTGTTGGTCGCTGTACCCTCCGTGCGGGCAGTAAGCCGTGACGACTCGGAGCGGTTGTTGCGGAAGCCGACGTCGATGTAGGCGACCTGCTCGTTGACAGCTTTGAACCTTCGCATGCGTCGTGCATGTCGTTTGTGGACTAAGAATGCAACGCCTCGTGTCAGACAGTCATGTCCAGAAGCTACGAAAATGTGCGCGCCAGGCTCAATGACCCAATACTCTCGTTCTTCTGTCCGCCATGTCTCATTGAGCGCCACAATGTCCCATCGTATGTCTGAAAGCTCTTGCACAAGAAGGTCGATCGCTGTGTCATTAGTGAGGCTCCGGGCGCTTTTGCGTATGACCGTGAAGTTCCCATCGTCGTTACTGCGTCGTGGAGTCGTGGTTGTGGTTTGTTGGGAGGCTGCGTTGGGTGTGTGTGTGTGCTGTGATTGTCGCTGTCGGCTGCTGTGGTCAGCGTCGGCTGCTGCTGGAAAGAGCGCGTGGTCGCAGGTCCCATGGTACGTCGCCTTCTGAGTGGCTGTATCGTCCTCGTTCACCGCCGATGCTGGGTTGAGGTAGTCGCTGTTGTTGCAATTGTATATGCTGTTCGGCCTCTCTCCCCTGAGATCCTGGCGACTCAATTTTTTCGAGCCGGGCGTTTTCGCCTTTTTTCGGGGTCCCAGGACCCTCACAGATCGATCTGGCTCGAAAAATGACCCAGGAAGATGGGCTCCGGGGCTCCAGGCGCGGATCTTCACGATGTTACACTTTTTCCAATACGTCGGATCTCAGGGTGTGGAGGCCTGCGGAGCCTGTCGGTGATCGCAGCGTGCTTCGAGACAGCGGCGCCGATGATCCGCTTGGCCTTCTGCAAGCCACGCTTTGGCTCAGGTCGGGCGTTGCTAGGAGTGCCCCTGGCCCAAGGTGCCCCTGGGATTTCTAGGGAGGCCCCCGCGGCCTCCAGAGCACCCCTCACGAGGCCCAGGGGGCCCCAGGGGCTCCAAAGGTGAGCAAAAAGCTGGGGGCACCTTGGGCCAGGGGCACCTTTCGTGCGAGGCGGGAACTGATCCATGTCCAGCGCCTGGGAACCGACGTCCTGGTGCCACAGCGGGCGGTGGAGGGCGGTGGATATGGATACATTTTGGCCCCCGGGGGCCCGGAGATACCCATTGCCACCGCCTCCCGAGGCCCCCGAAAATTCACCCTGGCAAAAGGCGCGTCGTGCTAGGTCGGGCATGTCCTCCTACAGGCGGATTTGGGAGGAGAAACTACAGAAATAGTCAAAAAATACCCACAGATAGTCAAAAAAAGTCAAAACAAATCGTCCCCAGGCTATTTTGGGGGTTTTCCTCCTGTAGAGGGACACGCCCGACTTACGAGGCGCGGCGAAAAAAAGCGCGGGGGGGGGGGGTCGTGCCCTTGTTCGAGGCGACGGGGGCCCTGGTGGATCGGCCCGGCTCGAGAAGCCTTGCGCCAAGATGGAGCACCGGATGCTCGAGCCGCGGACTCGTCACCCCGCCGCGGCTGTCGCAAAACGCGACGCCGGACGCCTGGGCTCAAGGGTCCTGGTGCGAGGCGGGGATTTATCCATATCCACCGCCTGGGAGCCGACGTCCTGGAGCCCCAGTGGGCGGTGGATCTGGATATATTTCGGCCCCCGGGGGCCCGAATATGTCCATATCCACCGCCTGCCGAGGCTCCGAAAACTGACCCTCCGGGCGGTGGTCATGTATGAATTCCCGCCTCGGACCTGGACAGATCAGCCCCGGCCCAGGATCTATACATGTGGATCGTTGGCGCCCCACGAGCACCAGTGCCGGTCCAACACGCACGCGTTACGGCACGCCTGTATCGCCTGCTGCTCCGCGGAGTGGCCAGTCTTCGGCATCGCGCGCCGCTCGGTGGCTTGGCGCTGGGCCTCGTCGCCGCCGCGGCGCCCCGCGACCGCAGACCCGATGGAGCAGTCGCCCGCAGCGAACACGAGGCCGTGCCCCCACCTCTCGCAATCGCGCGTCACCACCTGCGCGACGAGAGGAAACGTGTCTCATGCACGATGACTTGGGCGACCTTACGCGGTGGCTTACGCGGGCCGCCAGCGCGGCTCGCTACACTGGAAGCCAGGGCGCTCGCGCGCGACTTACACGGGAAGCCTGCGCGCGAATGCCCGCGCAGACGAGCCCGTTGTCTCCCGTCGCTCGCCTGGAGGTACCTGTTGACGAGTATCCAGCCGCCGCCCGAGGGACCCCAGTCGCTGAGGGTACTCTCTGGCATGAAGTGGTTCGAGTGCCGCGGGCCCTGCAGGACGTAGACCCGCTCGAAGCCCTGAAACTGAGGGCTCAGTGGATCATACTGGACGCCATACAGCGTCTGGATACCATGCCGCTCCATGTACTCCTGGCAGTAGCTGACCGCGTCCTGCGGCAGGGGGCCGAGGCAACCTGGCAGAAAGTCGCAGAGGGTAACGCGCAGCCCGGGGACGAAATGTCTGAGCTCGCACGCCCACTCCACGCCCAGGAACCCGGCGCCCACGACGAGCACCCGGGCCTGCTGCTGCCCCAGCTCCTGCAGCGCCGCGTGCTCCTCGAGAACGCGGCGCCTGCGGCCCTCGAGGAAGCGCTCATCCACCGATGAGGCCCCGGGCGAGGTCCCCGCACCAGCGCGCACCCTGGGCAACCACGGGGTGTCGCTGGCAGCCGTCAGGCCCCCGAGCCCGCAGCCCACGGCCAGGATGCAGAAGTCATACGGCACCACGTCCTCGCAGCCCCCGAACACGGGCCTCACCCGCGCCTCGCGATGGTCGCCGTCTATCGCCAGCACCTCCCCCCAGATGAAGCCGACGCCGAAGGCGCCCTCGAGAACGTCCTTGTAGAGGAAGGTGAGGGAGTCCCAGCGGCGCGGCTCCACGAAGGCTCGCAGGATGCCAGGGGCGAACTCGAAGTACTCCTCGCTGCACGGATTCCCATGGGGCCGAAGGCGACCCGAGGAGGAGGAGGAGGAGGAGGAGGAGGAAGGAGGAGGAGGAGGAGGGAGGAGGAGGAGGAGGAAGGAGGAAGAAGGGGAGGAGCAGAAGGACAGGTCGCCTAAGCCCTCCGGAGAAACCCTCCACTCCTCGCCAGACGCCAGAAGCCTGTCCAGGCCGCCCACACTGCGCGCCTCGCGCCCAGCGAGGCAGGCGCGCCCTCGCGCGGCCCCCCTCCTGGAGAAGAGCAGCCGCTCTGGCCCAGACCGCGACGCGCGAAGCGCGGTTGTCTTCATTTGACGTCTGCGTTCCACTACTCGCAAAGTAGCTACTCGCAAATGGCCTGGATCCGCCGTGGGGGAGTTACGATACATTGCATCGATGAAGACACGTGTGTTTTCGGACGTTTGCGAGTAGGCACTTGGCGGAGGAGTGGAACGCGCTCGGAGATTCATAGGGCAACAAACAATGACATAAACATAAAAACTCTGAGGTCCGCGCGGATTTCTCGGATCGGCGTTGGACCCCCCTCCCTGGCGCGCCGAGCGCACCAGGGAGGGTTCTCCAGCGCCGGTCCAAGAATTAGGTCGGGCGTCCCCCTACAGGCGTATTTTGGACGAAACAAACCAAAAACACCCCAAAAATACCCCAAACATATTCAAAAATGTCAAAAAATCGTCCCCTGACTATTTCATGAATATTTCTTGAACATTCCCCCTGTAGAGGGACAGGCACGATTTAATCCAAGAAATCCGCGCGGACCTCCGGATGTTTATGCTTTTGTCATTGTTCGTTCCCCTACTTCACGACCCCGTGGGTGTCTTGGGAAGCCGTGCACCATCGGGTGCGTCCAAGACGGGGGCGTCCAAGAGGGGGGGGCGCAAATCGTGGCCAACGGCACGTGCGCGGCCCACGGGGGGGGGGGACTGGGGACGCACTGAAACAAGAAGAGGCGCCATGAAGTCTGGAGAGATCTCATGGCCCCCGCCAAGGTATCCACCCCCCCTACTCTGGATTTCTTAACAAGCGTGGAAGGTACCCCACCCGACGGGGGTCGCGACTTCGGCGCGCGGTGTTTACCCGCGACGGGGGTCGATATGGGGCTGGCTGTCGGCGTGGGTGACGCCCCCCCCGACGCTTATTAAGAAACTCGGAGTAATCTTTACCCTCCTCTTGGCCGCTCCCGACCGGTGGGCGACCTGGGAAGCCGTGCGCCACCACGGTGTCCTGCTGGACCCGCACCGGGCCCCGAGCCGCTGTGCCGAGGCTCCCTCTTCACGGGGCCAGGAGGCAAGAGGAGGAGGAGGAAAAGAAGGAGGAGGAGGAAAGAGGAGGAGGAGGAGGAGGAGGAGGAGGAGGAGGGAGGGGGGAGGAGGAGGAGGAGGAGGGAGAAGGGAGGAGGGAGGAGGGAGGAGGAAGGAGGGAGGGAGGAGGGAGGAGGGAGGAGGAAGGAGGAGGAGGAAGGAGGGAGGGAGGGGGGAGGAGGGAGGAGGGAGGAGGAGGGAGGAGGGAGGAGGGAGGAGGGTCTTTCCCGCGGGCCATGGCACCAGACGGGCCTGGGAGAGCCCGGCGGCGGTGCAGGAGTGGCCCTGGCGGCGCCCACGAGAGGGCGGTGCGAGGGGGGTGGCCTCTTGAGCGGGCAGCGGGGCTTTCCGACGAGGATGGGGCAGGGGACCCCCCGCAGCGAGCCGCTCTTGGGAGAGCGCCCCTTCTTCAAGGCAAGAGGAGGGAGGGGGGGGACCAAAGAAGGCTCGCGGCCAAAACGGGGGGAGGTGCCGCATCGAGCCTAGGAACAATGCCCCCCATTGGGGAGGGGTCACTGGCCCGCCGGGGGGCCTCCTAAGAAGCCTTCTGAGAAACCTCCGGGGCCTTCGAAGAAGCCCCTTCCGCCCTCCTGGAAAGTTGCCCCCGTCGCGCAGCCCCCCTTGCGGGAGCCGCCAGGTTACGGCCGTCCGCACGCTGCCTCTCATCGCAGATAGATCGAAACACTTGCATAATCGAATCGACCTCATCGAGCCATCGTGTGTACTCATTTTTCTTCGCCGCAACAGTGGCAATGATGAGTCCCACCAGCCCTTTGGGCGTGAGTGGTTTAGCGAGCTTTCTCTGTCCTCAACCCCCCAACCCCCCTTCTTCCCCTTCGGGGAGGGGTTTACCTCTCCCCCTACCCCCTACCCCTGGGCCTGGAGAGGGAGTCCGGCGGGTCGTCAGGGGGGTCTTCGCAGCCCTGTCATTAAAACTCAAATGCTTGCGGGCGAGCGCCCCTGACCCAAGCAAGTGAGCCACACGCAGTGCCAGTAAAAGTCGTGAGACAAGGCCGGCACGAGGGGGAAGGAGCGGGAAGGAGGACGGGGACAGGACGAGCCAGTCGAGCCACCGCTCAGGCCACCAAGCAAGATGCCGAGGCAGCCCCACGCTGTAACGGGGCAGCCCTCAATCCGGGTAAACACGTCACTTTCTGAGCCGCTAAAATCGTGAAGCGCGGCCGGGAGGAGGAGCAGGGAGGACGAGGAGGACGAGGAGGACGACCTGGTGCCGAGAGCTGGCCCGTCCGACCCCTCACATATACGACCAGTAAGCAAGCGTGGCGGGTCGTCTTGGGGCTGTCTGGACCCGCGCGGGGCTCCGGAGCTTGCGGCTGGAACGGGGCCGCTCGCCAGAAAAAGACGCCGGCTGAACAACTCGCCGGGGTGCAGTCGAACTGGCACGAGAGTTGTGAGACGGGGCCGGCACGAGGAGGAGGGAGGAAGCGGAGGAGAAGGAGGGAGAAACGAATCGTTTCATGAGCACCGGGTGCTCGGGGCGACTGCACGCGGCCTCTGGGCCCGGGAGAGGGAGGGGGGGCGGCAAGCAGGCAAGGCAGGGGGGCAGTCGGGCAGGCGGCGGTGGGGCAGGGGGGCACGGCCGCGGGGTGTGAGCCACCAGACCCCGCCGTTAGGCGCGCGTGCGCGGGGGCGGGCGGGGGCGGGTTGGGGGTGGGGGGGAGCGACGGGGGCGCGGGAGGAGGCGCCTACGAGGCACCCTCCTCCCGGTCGGGCCAGCACGCCTGCACCTGCCTGGCGGCGCGGCGCCACAGCTCCGTGCCGATGGCCGCGGCCAGCCGCTTGTACCGCCACTCCCCATCAGAGCAGCCACGCCTCCGCGATTGTTTCATCGCGAGAGTGCGGAGGATGGCTGTCGTCCGGGGGTGGGGGCGGCCGTAGCAGGTGTAGACCAGCGGCTGGTATGTGATGTTCTGCCGCGCCAGAACATCGGCGTGCGCCGAATAGTACTCGACCTTACGCCGGCACAAGGTGGCCGCGCAGTCCGGGCCGGCCGCCACGGCGTCAGGCGAGGCGATGCCCACGTCGAGGGCCAAGAGGCCGTTGCCGAGGGCGCCGGTCAGCACGTCGGCTGGTCGGAGGCGCGTTCCTGGCACCAGGCCCGGGGCCTCGAGTTCTGCTCCTGGGTCGCAGACTCTGGCCGCGGCGTGCACCTGGCGCGCCACCGCGCGGTGCCCCCGCGTTGATTCCGCGCGACAGCAGCAGAGGGCGTGCGACCCTGCCCGGTCGAGGACCGCCTGGCCGCAGAGGCCGCACGGGACTGGGTCCAGCGGCCCGGCGGCGCCCACGCGCAGGCGCAGGGCCTCCGTGAACTCGGGGCTGTCCATCACAGGGCCCTTGTGCTTCGAGAGGTTCCAGAGCCAGGAGTGGTCGCAGTCGGAGTGCTCGAGGTCGTCGAGCCGCCGCAGCGCCGCGTCGTCCCCAGCGTCCGCGTGCCTCTTGCGAAGGTCGTGCCGTCCCTGCTCGTCGAGGTAGCGAAGTAGAGCCCGCTGCAGGTGCAGCTGCCGCGTGCGCGGGGCGGAGTTGGGGTGCTCGTTGTCCTCGTCCTCGTCGAGCGGAAGCAAGTTGCGGCCGAGGCCCCGGGGGCGGCCGCGGCGCTCCTGGGGCGCGGCGGCGGGCGCCTCCGCGTGCTGGTTGAAAAGGGCGGCCCAGCGACCCTCGGCTTCCACGGCGGCCTCTGAGAGCGCGGCCACGAGGAGGCTGCCGACCGTGGGCGGTAGGCTGAAGACAAGGCGGACCGCGGCGTCGTCCGTGCGCCTGTCGTACTCGGCCATTATGACCCCTGCTTCGCCCAGGCCCCTCTCCGTGAGGTGCGTTGCCATCTCCCGCGCGCGAGGCCTCGAGCACACGCGGCTGGCCACGAAGGCCGCGAGAGACACCTGCGAGGCGGTCCGCATGCCAAGGCCTCCTGTGCTCACGCCGAGCGAGCACTGCTCCCACGCCGCGTCGGGGAGGTCGCCGCATGCGACAAGCTGCACGGCTTCGCGGAGGTCGTTGTCGAATTGCTGCAAGTGCTCGTCCTTCACCCTGTCCCCGTTGAGTCGTAGCTGGTAGGAGAGCTTCGACACGTCGGCGCAGAGCCGTGTGAGCACCAGTTCCGTCGCGGCGTGTCCGACCTCCAGCAGGGCTAGTCGCGCGTCGCGGGCCTTGGTTAGCACGGCCTTGACCTGGTCGTCGAGAGCGTCGGGGCTGCCGAAGGGAGCGCCGAGTGCCAGGGTGGGGCCCTCCGGGGCCAACACGTTGCAAGTGGTCCGAACGCATTCCGTGCCCCAGCCGTCGTAGCGGCGCCGCTCGCTGTCAGGGCAGAGGAGGCGGCAGGAGCTTTTGGCGGCGCCGGCAGCCACAGTCCCGCGGGTGCCGCCGAAGACCGCGAGAGTGGCGTCGAGGCTGCACAGGAAGGGATCCAGCGCGTGCGGGCGGACGAATACCTGACCGTCGTCGATAAACCACTGCTCGCAGAAACCCGGGGCGGCGGCCCCTGCAGCGGGCGGGCCGGTGCGGGGGGCGCGAGCGGCAGCAAGCGTGAGGCAGGCCTGCACAGTTCCGAAGCCGTCGCCCTGTTCGGCGCCGCGGTCCGTGGTGAAGGTCTCGCCGGAAGGGAGGAGCGTCTCAGAGGGTTCTTGCTGGTGCCAGGAGGTCCAGGCCGCGATCTCCGGGAACTC